TACAAATTGCAAGTGTGTCTATTAATGTGAATGACTATTAAGTTTCTGAAAGAGCACTTACGTATAGTGCAATGACATGGAGCCAAACAAGCCCTGTTCTTATGTAAAGCTACTTAACATTCAGAGCATTGCAGCAGCCTCTACATTTATTAAACTTCCTCACTGGATTGCAAGGTTAGTTTGAGGCCATGCATTACTGCCAATTCAATGTGCAAACATGCAATTACAGAGGGAGCGACAGATAACAGGAGTGAATAGAGAAGAGAGAGAGAGAGAGAGATTGCTTCTCTGCAGCTTTTCTGAGTCCTTGTGTATGTACTGCAATGCAGATATAACATCCATCACTGCTGCTGGATGCTGTGGCTGTAATAGAGCAGCCTAGATGAGACAAATTATACAAATTGCAAGTGTGTCTATTAATGTGAATGACTATTAAGTTTCTGAAAGAGCACTTACATTTTTTTGTTGATCACTATCATTCTAAAGCTTAAGGTCAGTATGCTTTTTAAAATATTTTTGAAAGAAATCTCTTATGCTCAACCAGGCTGCATAATATTGTGAAACATTATTCCAAATTAAAATTATTGTTTTATATTTTAACATATTTTATGCAATTTATTCCTGTGATTGCAAAGCTGAATTTTCAGCATCATTATTCCAGTCTTCAGTGTCACATGATCCTTCAGAAATCATTCTATTATACTGAAATGCTGGTTTGATAAAACATTTCTTCTTATTACTGCTGAAAACAGCTACTTTGTGGAAACCTCTGTACATTTTTTCATAATTCTTTTAACAATAGAAAGTTCAACAAAACAGCATTTATTTGAAATAGAAATCTTTTGTAACATTATAAAAGTCCACTATCGCATTTGATCAATTTAATGTGTGAATTAAAGTATCAATTTCTTTCTTTCTCAAAAATAAATAAATAAAAACATCTCAGTGACAGTGATTAATTGTAATAAACATTTATAAAGTCACAAAAGATTTCGGTTTCAAATAAATACCGTTCTTATGAAATTATTACTGTTTTTACTTTTCTATTTTCTATGGAATCCTGAAAAATGTATCACAGTTTTCACAAAAAAAAATATTAAGCAGCACAAGGATCACGTAACACTAAAGACTGACGTATAATAAATAAATAAAAACATCTCAGTGACAGTGATTAATTGTAATAAACATTTATAAAGTCACAAAAGATTTCTGTTTCAAATAAATACCGTTCTTATGAAATTATTACTGTTTTTACTTTTCTATTTTCTATGGAATCCTGAAAAATGTATCACAGTTTTCACAAAAAAAATATTAAGCAGCACAAGGATCACGTAACACTAAAGACTGACGTATTGGCTGCTGAATATTCAGCTTTGCCATCACAGGAATAAATTACATTTTAAAATATATAAAAATAGACAGTTATTTAAAATTGTAATAATATTTCACAATGTTCCAATCAAATTATTTACTGTATTTTTAATCATAAAATCATTGGTGATCATAAGAAAAAAAAATACCTTGTGTGAAATAAACAGAAATTATTAAATATCATTCTTCATTGTGTTCACTTAGTGAAAAAGAGTCTGGAAAACATGCCTTGATTATTTTAAACAACATTTTTTTTAGCTATATCATAGGTAGACAGAAAAACGCTTTCGAGGATGAGAGCCACAGACAACAAAAGATTGCTTACTAAATTAGAAAGCCAAAACAGAAAATAAATATAGAAAAGAAAGTCTGAGTAGAGCTGAAACCAGAGCAAATGGCGAAGCAGTCAGACGGCGAGACACTGAACACACGATAACATCTGTTATGAAGCAAAAGGGTTTAAGACAGAGAGCCAAAATGACTTTTCTGCTTTTCAACAGTGTTTTTTACCTGTCCTGATGAGTCAACAGACTGTAATGAGTTTGCAAATTGACGGTCCGTTCAGCCCTAAATTAAGCTGCAATACGTGACTGACAGCAGGTGGAATGTGGAGCTCTGGCTGCTGCAGGTCTGGACATAAAGAGCTGTGACACTGATCGAATACCACCATTTATGAGAAACACGGCCATTATTTCCCCTCCAGCTGATTCTTATCGACTATATACTGTACATATGATCATCCTTGCTTTTGCTTCTCATGTTCACCTCTAGCTTTGTGAAACTAATAAAAGCCCTTGGTATATGTTACTGTTACTGTTTTCAACAGTGTTTTTTACCTGTCCTGATGAGTCAACAGACTGTAATGAGTTTGCAAATTGACAGTCCGTTCAGCCCTAAATTAAGCTGCAATACGTGACTGACAGCAGGTGGAATGTGGAGCTCTGGCTGCTGCAGGTCTGGACATAAAGAGCTGTGACACTGATCGAATACCACCATTTATGAGAAACACGGACATTATTTCCCCTCCAGCTGATTCTTATCGACTATATACTGTACATATGATCTTCCTTGCTTTTGCTTCTCATGTTCACCTCTAGCTTTGTGAAACTAATAAAAGCCCTTGGTATATGTTACTGTACATGAGTCTGAAGTGCATCTGTCTCCACCCCATCCTAAACACCTAAACACGTATCACCTTCACATTTATCCCATAGATTTTTCAATACTCCATTCAAAGAACTTAAGCAGTCGTGAGAAATAAGGACCAAAATATATACTTAATGTCTCTGCACATGACTACTAGCAGATGAAGTAAATGATTTATGGGCTATTTTATCCCACAAAAGTTGCAAGTCACAACTCGTTCTCTTTCATGACCAATATTACTTTGTTGTTGTCTTGAACACCTGCAGGGTCGAGCCTTTTCAGGTTTGAAAAGTAACCACTTTGTGAGGTGGTGACTGCAGTCTGCTCTGCATTACAGCAGGGATGTTCGTGACTGATGCACAGGTTATCAGAGGTCAGTGCGAGTCAGCAGCAGAAGGACAGACTGCACATTGGAACTGAAATAACCCAGTGTGCAGGTGTCTTATCCTCCTGAGATCCAGAAATAAGGCTTTGCCTTTGAGATTTGACAATATATGCTGTCTGAGTCCTCTATAGTGAAAATGCTTTGAATGTTTCTAATGAATACATTTTGATTACAAATCAAGTTATCAAGCAAAGACAATTTTCATAATTTAGATAGTCACCTTCGCTTGTACTCATCCCGCTCCCTTTTGATTTTGGCCAGGACGTTGTAAAGTGCTCTGATCTCTGGGGTGATGGTGTCTATCTGGACACCCACACCGTCCGGGTGGACCCACGACACTCCGGGACTGGTGACCCGAGACTCTGACCCGCTTCCCAGTTTACGGGTGTGATTGTAGGACCAGATAGTGCCCGGGAGGAAGCGAGGGGGAGGGTTGGGAGATGTCCCGGTGCCAACGCTGCTCACATGCGGAGCATTGTTGGAGTTATTGGTGTTGGCCGAGGCGGGTTCGGTGGTGGGTGTTGAGAGACTAACCATAATGGTTGGGTTCCTATTGGTGTTTGGGTCATTTGTGGTCTCATCATCAGCTTTATTGGGCTCAAGCTTGAGGACAGACGTAAGAGAAGGCATAAACAACGTAGTAGGTCGTTTAGCAGAGTTGTTGGTGTTTTGGAAGGACAAAGACCCAGGCCGGACAGCAATAGGCCCAATAAACCCAGTCTGCACACCAATTTCTTTGGTCTTTCCGTCCTCCACACCTCCACTTGTGTTATTGCAGTCTAAAGCCTGCTGTAGCTGTAACTCCAATATCTTATTGCGTCTCTCCAGTTCATGCACTTTAGCCAGAAAGCATCGGAACCGCAGATTGAGGGTCTTCAGGACGCTTATATTGGATCCCAGGTCGTTCCTCAATGCCATGGCTGTAGGTGGAGGAGGTTGGGACCAGTGGAAAGATGGACTGAAGTGCAGATAAGAGGATCCCGTGAGGCCGGGTTGTTCTCCGAGGAAAAACGAGGATGGGTCAGGAGCTCCTAGGACAGCAGCCTCAGGGAGTAAACCGGAGGGAGAATCGGGATGACCGGGTCCTTCTGGATTCTGCTGCTGCTGATGAGGATGAGGATGAAGAGGAGAATGCATGCTACGGCACGGAAAACTGAAGCGCTGCAGATCGGGCATGAACCCAGCTGTGCCTGACTTTTAAAATAGTTAACGGCTTGATTTCAAATGTCAGTGGTGTTTAGCGACCCAGAGACACGGCGATGTCCACATTTAACTCGTTAAAGCCTTATGTAACGAGTTAAGAGTATTACAGCTTGCGTGCAAATGCTGAGTAAGGATGGGTAGACGCTGATGGAGATGAAGCGGCTCTCACTGCAGCAACCGATAAACGCGCAAAATATAGACTAATTATAAAAGCACGCGAAATTATTCAAACAAGCAAAGAATATTATAACAACTAACGCCAGCGAAATACGTTTAAAATAGGTCCAAACGAATGTCTTGTGGCTTCCCCGCCTGGAAAGCTGAATACACTTGAGCGCTCGAGTCTCTCTGCGGCGCTTCAGTGCAGACACTACCGTAATATCAGCAACAGCTCTCGGCTTGAGTCTGTTTACTGGAATATTCCAGAGCCGCAAAATAATATTTGGTAGAGGACTTTGCGCAGAATTATCTTTATATGTAATCAATCGCCGTTCGAAGGCGAATGGCAGCTCTCCGTGTGCTTTTCCCCTTGTGTGTTTGTCTAAGAGTGGTTAATACGGTAAAAAGATATTACCTCATGGATCATGATAACAAAGCAACTCTGACGTCATAGATCTGCAACAAATAGCCTAGCCCTTGTACTTATTGGGTTTTATAGGGCTTCTGATTTTAATTTGTATCTACTTGGAAACTACTAAATAAAAGTCTTTTCGTCATTGTAAACTTTATTAACATTTCAGAAATAGTCATTTAAAATACTTTGGACTGGATATAGTGCACTCGGAAATACAATAAGTAGATCAATAAATTGTTTAGATGCACAAGAGATTAATAAATAAATAAATACACAGGATCAAGTCAAACACACAAAGGACAAAATCAATATGAAAACAAAAGCCCCGTGTCAAAGTACCAGTGTGAGACTTGATAGGTGCAAAATAGTGTGTAAAATCACACACTGGATGACACTAATAGAAACAAAGAAACACTGCTTATTAACTAAAACAACAGATATTTTGAGCTAACTAACTGCATTATGAACTTTGCTGATGCTGTCACTCCTCACCTGTCAACGAGCTGTTAGAGGTGGGTTCTCTAAATTCTTTTTTCAGCTCTCTTTCCACCTCCTTCCCTCTCTCTCTTTCTAAGTTGGTCTGCGTATCTAAGGTTGTAGTATCCAAGGTTGCCCACCCGACTGCTGCACTGTCCTGACAGGACCCTCTCTGACCTCTACTCTTCCGTGAGGAATCTTTTTTCACACGGTCCCCAGACGACTGACTGGTAGGTGTGCTTCTTCTCCAGCTGTGAATATAAGAGAGCGTGACGCTTCCACGATATCCTGGATGTGTGGAAAATAAAAGGACAGAAACAGAAATGTGAAGAAATGTAGACAGAGAAATAAAATGAACGAAAATAGATAAGTATAGACCAGGGGTCAACAAACTCGGTGCCCGGAAGTTTCTAGTATGCCTAATAAGACCAAGATTCTCTGGTTCAGGTGTGTTTAATTATGGTTGGAGCTAAACTCTGGGATAGACACAGACAGACAGACAGATAGATAGATCCTGACCATCAGAATCACTGCCGTCGGTGCTCCTTGTTCTCCTCCTCTCTCCATCTTTTCCTCTCAAGCACAGGAGATCATAGACGTCCTCCCTGAAGTCACGGTTCATGATCTGGTAGATAAAAGGGTTTATCATGCAGTGTGACTTGGCAAAAATAGCTGGGATGAGTGAGACCTCTGGCTTCAGGATGGACACAAGATGTGACTGATGTCCATTCATTCCTCCATGTGCAGAACCCACAGTTGAACTTGATCCATGATGCCCTACTGAATGATGGGAAGGATCTGACGTCATATTCCTCCAGGTAGAAGTCATATTCCTCCAGGAGCCAAAAGCATCCCCGAAGTGTTCTGAAGAGGTCCAGTTAATGAGGAAGGGAAAACCAAAGACGTCAGACAACCCTCCGCCATGGCCGACCCCCGCTGCTGACATTCCACCCGTGAGAGCGGTTCCTCCGTCTTCTCCAGTGTGCTCCTCTCTAGCAGTCAGAGCGGAGTAGAGCGAAACGATCGCATAGGGAGTCCAGGCAATCAGAAATGAGGAACACACCACTGCTGCTATCTGCAACGAAACAAAAAGGAAAAAAGAAGTTATTTGTGAATCATAAAAAGGAAAAAAAAAATGAATAGTTGTGTGGAGGTAACAGCAGAGCAGCCATTGTCTTATTCTGATTATTTTATTCATTTTTAATGTGTATTTTCAATTTTTGTTTTTGTCCATATTTACTTAATTGTTTTTTTTACATTGATTCATGTTAAAAGGGTCTGAGACCAATTGGAGTATTCACATATTGGCCACAAATCCAGCGAACGATGCTCAGACCCCTTAAAAGGACCAAGTGTGAAAACACCCTAAGATATCCCATGTTAAAAGTCATTGTGTCTGAGAATTGGGTCCTTTACAAAGGTATGATGGGTGATCAATCAGAGCTGGTACCTTTGTCAGCCGGAGATCTTTGCTGTTGTGAGTGACACTGGATAAAGGGATTGAAGTCAATATCCGTCCGGACCAATACACCTGAAATCACACAACAGTGTAGCAACACTTCAATTCACCTTAAATAGTTCTTCAGTCAACATTAGGATTAAACAATCAAATTACAAATGATCACTACCATCATCCTCAGAATAAATCAAAATGATGTCTTAGGTTCAAGAGTTTCAGAACCATTATTAATAGTGATAATCTCTCTGTTTCTCACCTTGATGAGGATAGCGAGGTATGAAGTGATGATAGTGAACGTGGGAAGTCCAAAGCAAAGTGACAGGATCAGGTAAATATAGACTCTATCATTAAGTGAAGACTTCATTCTCCACCTGTGGCCACAGGAAACAATGCATGAACACATCAACACATATTTTCTGTGATGGGTGGATGTTCCAGTGGTTTGTGGGTAAAGTAACACTCAGCTGCTTGAAAGTGAACGCTATATATGTGTCCCTTGAGAATGCACTCTGAAAACACCAACTAATCTTTGGGGAAAAGGATAGCGACTCATTTACAAGTGTTACTAATGGTTATGGTGCATTACCAGTTTATGGTGCAGCTGGTTCCAAATGGTTCCGGTCCGTAACTACCAAAGCCAAACACAGGAAGTGAGGCCCAGAATAATGTATAGCTCCACACCAGAGCCACAGACAGAGAGGCATGTTTTCTCTCAATCCACTGACCTGAGACAAAGGACCAAGTACATTTGTAAACATCTAAAACTACTTGATAGCTCCTGAAACGTACTAGCCGGGTATTATTATATTGATTGTCCCATTCTGTTAGCTGAGAGAAAGAATGCAGTCCATCAAAATTAGAAATCTATGTTGTGCACTGTAAATGACAATCATAATCTCTGATCTTGTGCATTGATATACTATTCTTTTAAGAAGGGAGGCAAATTGTAATTATGGAAATAATGCAATGAATTTCTCCAATCATAAACTGGCTTAGTAGCAGTCAGTGCAATGGTGGTACCTTGAGGTGATGATACATGGCGCCCCCAGCAGACTGTAGCCAAAATCACAAACGGCCAGATTGATGGTCATCAGCTCGTGCGCTCTGAGCTTCTTTCTCCTCTGACCGTAAACCAACAAGACCAGCCCATTCCCGACCATCGACACCACACCTGCGACAGACAGAGAGAAATATAGATCATAGTACCAAGCGTCATCTTACACAACCAAAATGTTACATTAAATATTGTAATATATATCTCACTATAAATTAAATTAAATGTAAAAATTTTATATAAAAAATTCAGGACAATGCATGTAATTTTTGCAGATTGTTTTTAAAAGTAAAACATATATTTTAAATAGTATGATAACTTTCTTTCCTAGCATTCTTTGCAGTGAGCTTAAAAATATTGTAAGTGAGCTAAAAAGTATTGACTGATTGTTTATAATTTTTTAGTTTAGTTGATCACAATATATATTTCACCATAAATTACACAGTATTTCTTTTTTGACTTTTAAAAACTTAGATGTGTTGTAATTTTTAATGGGACATTATGTGTACTTTTTTACAGAAAGAGTTTTAATATATTTATATATACATATCTATTATAACCCTTACTGTAAAATTACATGTATTGTTCCATTAAAAATGGCAATACAAGTAATTTAATAGCAAGGTCAGTCAACCAATGAACCAATGTTTTTTTAGCGGTGCAATTTATGCTCTATGTCCAAGAATTCATTTTATTTTACATTATTTATTTTTTCTTTTTCTTTTTTTTGCAAGGAGCTAAAAAAATATTGATTTAGTCAAACACACCAACGCATACGAGCACCTCTTGCTGCACTGCCATTTTTAAATGACTCTGTAATGGCAGTTGTATTTGTTGTGCAAACAAGTGTATTGATTGTAATGGACAAGTGTCTTTAGATTGCATAGGTTGTGGATAAGATGATATGTCGAGTTTTACCATTTTCTGAAGCATCTCTTAATTAGAAGCATTCTCAATAGTGGTCTTTTTAATTTTGGACCCCACTGAACTCCAATATATATTGAACAAAAATAATTTAATAAAGTAATAATAACTGACCTGGGATGATGAGTAAGATGGCTATGCTGAGGTCAGCAGATGAAGAGAGCTGTGAGTGGAAGGCATGAGGGATGGAGGACGAGACAGAGATAGACCCCATCCACGAGCCATTCACTCTCTTAGACATTAACTATAACAGAGAGACAGACAGAAAGTAAAAGAAAAAGACCAAGACATAATGATGCTGCTGTACCCAGAAAACCCAGCATATGTTAGAAAAACACAGCTGCATAAGTATTAAGTATTGTTTAATAAAAAATATAACAAATTTGTTCAAGTGTGATGTGTCATTACTCATTTCACTAACCCACAATTCAGCTTTAAATCAGTGTCGAATGAAATGTTGCCACAAATAGAGGCACATCTGAGCAAAAAAACAAAAAGTTTTTTATTCCCCTTCCTCTGTCGTGTTTATCTCTCCGTCTTTTTCAGTCTGCCACTGTCTTCTAATCTGAAAGTGAAATGCTTGCTTTTCAGACTTAAGCCTCTTTTGTTCCTGTTGCTCTCTGTTTATACGGGAGGAGTGAATCAATTCCACTGTGGTCAGTGTGCCAGAGGACCATCAGGATTCATGCGCACTAACCCTCCCATCCTTTTGAACACCCTCCTCCCTCTTTATGCACACCTCTACCCTTCCTCTCATCCCGTTTTTACACTCCTAACACTTCATCTGTGTGAATAGAAGACAGTCGGAAATTGGTTTTTAGAACAGTGGCCATACATGATGTTTTAGTGAGATGAACAAACATTATACGACAGACACCGCAGTTGTTGGTGCTATAAGATTGATAAAGCACAGTGACATAATCTGTGAATGTGGGTGAGAGAGAGGTGGGGGTCGGCGTTGCATACTGAAGAGTAAATGTACACGGATAACAGCCATCTGAACTAAACAATAAAGTCTCTTAATCCTCCGTCCTCATTCTTATCAACAGAATTGAACAGCAAGTGCATGCATAAATACACAAAGAGTAAATGCACAAGAACAAGCTTTGCCATAAATCCCACAGTCGGCAAACTAAAACTTTGCTTTGTTATAAGATGATAGTTTGGAGCCTAACATCATAAACAACATTTTAAGACCGCATTATTTTAGAAAATGTCAACTTTAATATGAAAGATGCATGGATAATAATGTTATGAACTTTAGAGCAATAAAGTCTCCATGCTCATCATTGGTAAATCTGCGCCTTGCTAATGCAGTGCATTAATGTTGAAATATATCCACTGGTCCTCTGACTCGCACATCAATAACATTGATAGACATATTTCATAAAGGCCCAAGGTGAAATAATGGCATGTCTATGTCAGGGTGCAACTTCCCCCGATCCACAAATGGACTGAGTATTGAACTAAAAGAGTGTGTCAAAGAGTTTTAAATGCATTTAATGCAAAATGCATTTAATTAAAAATTAATGTGTCTTCGAAATTTTTATAACCATTACCAGCAGACCAGGTCTAAGAGACTTTCCTGGTAACCTAATCATACTTGGTTGCACTTTATTTTGATAGTCCACTTTAGACATTCTACCAACTATAAGTAACTTTGCAACTGCACGTCAACTAACTCTCACTAGAGTAGTGGAATTTACCGTTTTTCTCAATTGCTAACACACAATTCATGAAACAATTCACCATTTTCTCACAACAATATACAATCTCAAAACTACTACACACTTGTACAAACATCCAGGTCAAATATTTTTGTCAAAAACATTCTCTTTTGTCAGAATCAATCTTTGGCCTCAGATGACACACAAACCTGGCAAATACACAGACTACTTCACTGCCTAATGAACACTGCAGTGAGATCAATTCAAAACACTTTTACAGAAACCTCCTTTTGGGAATCAGGAATCATTTTGCAAGGCAGTGTCTAATTACAGAATAGAACATAAATAGACGGGTGCAGATGCAATAAAATGAAATAAGCTCAAAGAAAAGTTTGCTTTTATTACACCATTGCGAAGAGATTCTACATAAGATGAAAAAGCACTAGAAAGGAAAAGTTCAGCTCAAAGAATTGAATATGAACACACAATACAGTATACTGTCAGTCAATCAATCAATCATCTTCTGCCAAATTGCATTATAGTATTGGTAATTATCTTATTTGCCATACTAGAGCAGTTTCTTAGTCTTCTGACAAGACTTTCTCTGCCTCCTCTAGACAGTCATCTCTGTAACTGTACCTGTAACTTCTGCAAAAATACAGTACATGTTAGAAGTACTTGGCTACAAATCAATTCAGCGGTTCAGTGTACAACATGCTACAGAATTTTCTGTAGATAGAATAGTGAAAGTTCTCATGTAAAGTGCTGCTAGAAGTACTGTAATTGTACTGAACAGTCAACTATAGTGCTTTGTATTTCATCAGGAACAAGTGTCATTTGACCCCATCCCTTCATTTTTCTTTTCCCCTGCTCTTAGTTCTCATCTTCCTCTTTGTCTCCCAGCAATAGGGTTAATTTTCAAAAGCACAATCACCTGTGCTCCTGTTTTTATTATCCTGAGATTCTGACTGGTGTGTCATCAGTTTTGCTACTTAATGTTTACACATGGGAGAATGTGTGCTATTTGAGTTTGTGATGCTTGAGGAAATGATATGGTGCACTTGTCTTTCTGAATGAGAACATGGTTAAACCCATGCATTGGTGTACGGTTTTGCAAAAAAAAAAATAATAATTGAACAAATTGGTACATGTGTGAAAACCAGTGAAATGTGTTGGTTGAGAAGGGTCCGTTTTAACAACTGAATGAATTGTTTGAAAAATTTAGTCAAATGAATCAATTATAGTGTTAGCAATTGAGAAAAACTGTAGACGACTCATTTAGGCTTTTCACACTTAAATATGGGTTAACGGAATCCAGTTTATTTTCATGTTTCACACTATGCATTCATAAATTTCTTTGAGTCAGGTGGATTCTGATTGGTGGTCATTTATCATTCATCAGCCGGAGAAAAAAAAAAAAACCCAATTCCGATGTTGTTCCTCAGTGCCATTATTACTACAGCTGTGGAGTAGACTTCCCCATTTCTGGTTTGAATTCCTCTAGGAGTAAACCATCAAATGATTTTCTCCTTAAAACACAGCAGCGACTGTAGAAACACATGAACATTTATTTAGGCAAGCTTACACCAAAAAAAAACGCATGGTTTCACACGAAGTGCACTTGTTGAAATTCAGTGGGAGCCACTGATCTATTATATATAGAAAATATGCACTTAAACCATGCATTACATACTTAAGTGTATACATTTTATATTTGGTTATAGTCAACCAACTATAACCCTACACTATAAATGTGACTTGACAAGCATGTTAATTGGGGCGCCTAGACAATTGGCCATAAGTTACCAAGGAAACCAATCAAAACACTGGTTTGCTTTAAAAGCTCATATTCCCAATTTTAGAAAGTGCCGACACAAATAGGTCACCAGATCTAGATAAAACAAAGACAACATACTTCCCATTTCTCACAAACAGAGGACTTTATTATGTCACAGGTTGTTAACAGACAGAAAAGCTTTTGAAGTCAACATCAATTTTAAACCTCACAAAACAGAACAGAGTATTTTCATATAAAAATAACATTGGTCTTCAAATCAAGCATGTAATTTCCTTCCAGGCAAGTGGTGCAAACATCCAACCAGATGGGAGAACGGTGGGTCATGCATCAAACCACAAAAAAAAAGGGGGACACATTTACTCTTTGGAGGCCATGTGGGCCATCAGGTCACATACACGGTTGCTGTAACCAAACTCATTGTCATACCTATGGGAAGGAAGAGAATTAATT